TCACGGCCACAAACTGCTGAGGGAATCTACCTAATCAACACTACTCACGGCCACAAACTGCTGAGGGAATCTACCTAATCAACATTACACTAACGAGAGACACATAATTTTTTTTCAGCGCCAAAGAACACACTGGACTATCTGCGCCCTGTTCGGCGCGGGAAATCGAACCCCGGATTTTAACGTTGTAAGTTAGTAAACGTACGGCTGACAAATCGGGGGATAAAGTGAGAAATTACAAGTTGCACAGTGTATAGACAGTGTTCATAAGACAAAACTTGTGTTCTTTATTATTTGGACATGTGAGTATAAAATGTATTTATATACAAAGTGACGATATCATCGTTTTCGTTCAAGATCTAATATTTCACTCTTCAGTTATTCTAGGAAATAAAACACAATCGTAGAATTACAATTTTTACACACATAACCGTCTATCTGATACACTGTCTAATCATGGGCTTAGTATTGAATCTAGATAAAACTGGCCCCAGTGACGTGGAGAACTGGGATTAAGTTTGTTTTTGTTTGAATTTCGCGCAAAGCTACACGACGGCTATCTGCGCTAGCCGTCCCTAATTTAGCAGTGTAAGACTAGAGGGAAGGCAGCTAGTCATCACCACCCACCGCCAACTCTTGGGCTAATCTTTTACCGACGAATAGTGGGATTGACCGTCACATTATAACGCCCCCCACGGCTGAAAGGGCGATCATGTTTGGTGTGACGGGGATTCAAACCCGCAACCCGCAGATTGCGAGTCGAGCACCCTAACCACCTGGCCATGCCAGGCCTAAGATTAAGTAACAAATTAACAAGGACAAATTGCAGCTGTGTTCTATGTAAAAAGGTTTACAGGATTGCTGTGTTTGTTTTTAAATGATAAACTTTTTTGTTTGCTTAGAATGTTTTCTTGTCGATGGTTCTATACAGTGATAAATTACTGTGCACCAAAGTTAACAAGAAACAAAAAGGAATTTGTTTGAAAGAACAGAATAGGAATGTAATGAAGTCACGAGTATAATGTATTCACAAGTAAATGTTAAAAGGCTACTATTGTGTAACTACCTACAATAGGTCTGAATGTTAGTAGTAAATTACTTTTACGAATACTGATGGAGCAATTCTATATTTGACGTTACTTTCGTCAGATAATTACCAAATATATAAATATATCAATTATACTTCAGGAAAAATATTCATTATAGAGTTAGCAATGAAAAGTTTGTCCGATGTGTGAAGACTTATAACGCTAGAAATCGGGGCTAGATACCTGCGATGGGTAAAGCATAGCCCAAGTTTTATGTTTCATAAAAATCAAACAGATTGTTCGACATGGAATTTCACAAAGAAATAAGTTTTTAATACAAGAACAGTTTTAAATTTAATTCCAACCAAAGTAGATGGCGTTCCAAACTAAGTACACATTACAACTTGAAACTAATTCTGAATAAAAATCGTTTCATTATCAGTATAATAAAAGGAATATTTATAATTCTGTTGATATATTATGGGGGGAATAAAATAGTTACAAGTTGGAATTAAGTCTGAATATATTAGTATTTATGAAAAGTATATTAGATAAATGTAAAATATAGTTACCAAGAATTGGCGTAGTGCTGAATATTCAGCGTTCAAACAGCTGCATGAAAAATATAATCTTAGATTTTAGTGACACCTATTTTAAACAAATAAACTATTTTATGATCAGTGTTATGGCCAATTCGTGACCAAAAACTAATTTTGATATAATTGGGTACCATTTATTTCCATCTGTTAATCTGAAAATAACTATTTCGTGTTATTGGTTAATAATTATTATTTTAAATTGTGATAATAGATGGCAACTCAGTTTCCTTATTTTTTAAAATAACAATGACCATATGCAAGAAAAGAGAAGTTTAATTAAACAATTATTCCAAGAAATAAAATACATTCAAAATTTTTAAATCGAAAAAAACAACAACAACAACAAGAAACAAAAATAAAAGAGTAATATTCAAAAATTATTATATAGAAATATATATATATAATATTTTCTATCTATTTGCCAACAAAAACAACTATTTTATTAAATTCAAAATAATTTATAATTCAACTATTTCCAAATTGAGATAATAGCTATGGAGAAAGAATAAGAACGTAATGAAGTCACAAGTAAATAAAAAAATTCTACTTTTGTGTTACTACCTACAGCACACGTTGAAAATGTTATATTTTAAATAATCTTATGGCATTGTGGTGACTTGTGTAACCAAGAAATTGTTTTATAATTATTATATTTACTGCAACAGCAAATAATCATTTCTACAATGAGTGTCTAAAAACTATAACAAATTTTAGGTATCCGTCCAATAATAGATTACGTTTCAACAACACAAACACTGTAAAATTTATATCCAACCAACTACTGTAGATCATTAGTAAAATATATAAACTTTGGTCACATAGACCGAATGAAGTCTAATGTTAATAATAAAGATGAAGACGGTTGCCAAAACACAAAACATTTTATTTACATATATATATATATATAATGTTTTCTATCTATTTGCCAACAAAAAATAACCATTGTTATCTACAACTGTAGTATCATTAATCACTAGTTCAGCTAATATAGATGGAAGAAATATATTCCGAAACGTTCGAACTTTCAAAATAAAATGTTTTGTGTTTTGTCATCCGTCTTCATCTTTATTATTGACGAATTGTAATTACATTTTTTCACTTTTTTTTCTAAAATAATATTATTTCGGTAAATTAAAACTTTACAGGAAATTTATATTTGTAATATGAGAAACCTGTGGTGTTAAACTTATATATTTAGTATGTGTAAAATCTTTCTGAGAAGGAAAAAAATAACTTTTTTTTAATTACCTGCCATCTAGTGATTATAATACTGACATGTGATTGAGAAGATGGTGTAACGTGAGAATTTCATTGTGAATTTTTGTCCTTATTTTGAATTAAACTCGTTAAATTAGGAAAGCTGTAGCATACAAGTATGTCAAAAGTAAAGAACAATTAATGTTCTGTTTTGTTGAGAGAACATTTTCGAGAAGTCGTTCAAAAAATTGGAGCATTTTTTTGATGAAGAAAGATTCAATGCAATGACGATTGCAGTGATTATTGGTTCGAAACTTTCCGCTTCCAGAAAATGTAAGATGAAAATATTGGCTTTGTATTGAAGTTATGTTCTGTGGTTTATTAAAAGACACTACAGCTTTTAATAGTACTTTATTTCTTTGTTGTTAGTAATTTTGAAAAAGTTACCAAAGTTTCATGCTATTCATTTTACAGTTTTGTTTACATCAAAATCACGTCTAGTGTCTCTAACAAACCTAATTTATTTTATGTTTGTGATCTATTTATAGCATGATTGGTGAAACCCGAAAATGACACTCATAGTGTCATTAGTAATTTCTGTAATATTTAGTAATTTCTAAATTTCTATTCTATTTAGTAATAGTAGTTTTCTTTTTTCATAATGTAACATAAGTTATGTTAGTGTTAGTAAAAAATGAACAGGCCATTGCCGTTAGTTATTATTATATAAAAACTATATATTATATTCCCTGGACTATACTATGGCTCCCATACTTGTGGATCTCACCAGAGACGGGAAGGCCCAGCGCATGACCTGATTTTATATGTAAACTTAAATTTAACCAATCTATCATAAGTTAGGTTTATGGTAAGTAACCATGTAGAAAGTGTATATGTAGGTATAAATACAGCTACGTGATAGAAACAATACTTATTATAAGTGTTGTATTCTTGATGGTAAAATTAAGTCTTTGTCTTAGACTACAATTCACTGTCAGAATGCCCAGTTCTTTTGGCCAGGCAGCAAAATTAGGTCATAGTCCTAAGTAAAGATCCACTGTCAGAATGTCCAGTTAATTGAGCCAACCAGTAAGATTTTGTTGTCGTCCTAGGTAATGCTACATGGTTAGAATGTTCAGCTTACTGGACCAGCAAGTAAAATTTGGTTGTCATCCTAGCTCACAGTGCACTGTCAAAACATCCAGTTCAATGGCCCAGCCAGTGTAATCTTGGCTAGTTACCTTATGTATTTTAAAAATGTTCTTTATCCCATCACATTTAAAGTATTAGGTAAAATTAAGACATTTGTGATTACATAACTGTGTTTTATTTTACTTTGTCAAAACAAAAAACAAACAATAACAAAGGTTTAATATATGAAGGTGGGTGTTGTTTAGAGTAAACACTTAATCAAGCACAGAGATAAAAGTTTCTGGTTTCTCTAACAAACATTATTATGGGATGTTTTAAGTAAGTTTATGGCTGAAATGGAAAGTAACTGACTTTTTATTTTTTACCTGCTTGTGAATTTGTAATAATGACATCCCTCTTTTCAAAGCAAAACACCAGATTCATACATGGAAGATATCAGCTTGTAAAAATATATTATTTAACATGATTTATACAAGTTACATCCAGCTGACCATTTCTTACGAAGAAGTTTGTTTCACTGTACTAATTGTTTTTACCTGAAAATCAGATTGATAAACAAGTGTGTGTGCCTCCTGCCTCACTAGTGATGTGACAAATGAAATGATACTGAGGATGTTTTCTTAAAATATTAAAAGTGTCAGCAGTACAAAACAGTATTCCTTAATTTTACCAAGAAGAGCAGTTTAAGATGTGGTTGCCAGCTGGTGGTTTAAAAGTAGAGGGGAGGGAGTGTAACTGTTTTGGTCTCAATATACAGCATTGATAATATAGTTTTGTTTGACAACCGCTCAAAAAACTCCAATACACACATTTAATACAAAGGTAGTATATAAAAACATTTTGATAAAATTTGACAATATTAACAGGTCTGAACTTTTTAAATTCATTGATTCATAAAAAAGTTATAATGTAATAACAAAAATCAATTTTTAAATTAAAAATTACACTTATATTAGACTTACTTTTGACATATATAGCTCTGGATGAAGCTTAGCAGTTGCAGTGAGTGAATAGCATTTTTTGATGAAGGAAAAACTTATTTAACTTAATTATTGGTTATTGGTACTTTGAGAAAAACAAACAAACCAGAGTGACCAGTAATAACTTGTTTTTTTCTAAAGGTTCAGAAATAATTTTATGGCAGTTAGGGATGTGGCTTTCTCTAATATTGTTTCCTACATCAGTTCACTAAGAAGTAATTCCAGAACTAAATTGCTCCGTTTGTAATGGTTTTGTGTTTCTTCACAAGTTGAAAACAGACCAGGGAGTTACTCGAGTTTTTGCTTGCATTCTGTGCACTTTTACATATTTTGGAATAAGGTTTTGGTGGGGATATAACTTTATTTGGAATAAAGTTTTGGTGGGGCTATAACTTTATTTGGAATAAGGTTTTGATGGGGCTCTAGCTTTATTAGGAAGAAGGTATTGGTGGGGCTCTAGCATTATTTGGAATAAGGTTTTGGTGGGGATATAACTTTATTTAGAATAAGGTTTTGATGGGGTTCCGGCTTTAGTTGGAATAAAGTTTTGGTGGGACTCCAGCTTTATTTAGAATAAGGTTTTTGTGGGCTCTCACTTTATTTGGAATAAGGTTTTGGTGGGCTCTAGCTATATTTGGTATAAGGGTTTGATGGGGCTCTAGATTTATTTGGAATAAGGTTTTGATGGGGTTCTAGCTTTATTTGAAATAAGGTTTTGGTGGGGCTGTAGCATTATTTAGAATAAGGTTTTGATGGGGCTCTAGCTTTATTTGGAATAAGATTTGGTGGGGCTCTAGCTTTAGTTGGAATAAGATTTGGTGGGGCTCCAGGTTTA